TGGCCTGTGATCTGAAGGCCTATTCCTGAAACCTCCTATTCCGTCATCATCCTATCACAGCTCTGCGAGAACAACGGTGTCGAGGCAGGCGGCGCAGTTGGTGAAACGCCTAGCGTCTTAGGTGGTTTGCCACAGCGGCGATCTCGCGACCTTGTCAACAACACCCCTGCGCAGTTTGCGGCATAGTCGAGACTCAGAGATACTAGCAACATACGCAACTACCGACCGTACGTCGCTTTCATTGGTCAGCGTACTGGCACGTCCAATTCCTTTTCGATATCTCGTGCCTTCTCACCTCATTCGTGTCGGTAAGCACGATTGAGATGACACGACTCGCAAGTTTGCGCGCCGTAGTCTCCCCGATGTCAGAGGCACCTCCTGTGACCAAATCTATAAGCCGATTACTCATGATTGCAGTTCTCGACCCAATGTTCCGCGCAGTATCACTACTGCAGTCGTGAAAAACTCTGCTATATGGTGGAATTGATGGTTGATTTCCGGACCTCAGTTGAATGTCTGCACCGCTATCGAAGGATCGACGCACACGGCATAAACATTCGCAGTCTTCATGGTTCCGCGTCCTTTGACATTCGGGACCGGGAGGATCTGCTTGGCCAAGCAAAAATGACGCTTCGCTATAGGCTTGGCCTTGTTCTCACATTAGCGAGAAGCAGTTGGTCGTGGAGAGTGATTCCGTGGATATGGATTTTAGGAAAGTCTACCACATTCTGTACCTCGGTAGATCGCTCTTCATATGAATACTCCAATTGCACCACAATCCCATGGCAATAGCGCCTGAGCCATGCCTGGTTCAGGTAGGATAACCTTGAACGCCGTACTAGCTGTTTTCACCAAGGGTCACATTCAGGCTGCCAGCTTCACTCATTAAAAATCGATTGCGTGATGTCCAGAAAGTCTGACGAAACAACCAGAACTCGAGGTTCAAACAGTTACGACGATGTCCTCGAGACAGAAATTGAAATATTCCATGCGAAGCGACCCAGTTAGCCCTTCTTGAGACACGGTAAGCTCTCCATTTGGTGCTTCTTGGACTGTAGTCTCTCTAGTTACTTGCATCTCAAGTACTTTTCGCAGCCTGATGTCACCCGGTGACCATCGATAAACCTCCGATGGCTCCATTGAAACCTCGAGTCCCGGAAAGAATTGCCTCTGGTCGGGATGTCAGAATGAAGTGCCCGTAGGACGTCGCAAGTTTCCAAGCTTTATGTTTGATATTACCAACTGTTCACCTGGCTGGCCACATCGAGTTTAGGTTGTAGCACGATGCAGATGGTCTCCTCCCAGTTCGGACGACGTTCTCCAGCGTCGTTTGGCCCTGGTTTCTTTGAACATCTGGTGCTGCCACGCGCGTCTCAAGGACGTGATCACTTCAAGCCCGTGTATGCTACTTCTGAAGGATTGGCCAATTTCAGCCAGTGCTTGAATGCAGACCACAAAATTATGCTGGGCTGCTTTGCCCTTCGGCCCTGAGTAAATACAACTGTCATACGCGTGGACAACTCCCGCCGTGACTGTAGACGCAACTGCTTGGACGTTGATATATCGTAGGCCGTAATTGGCTTTAAACACTTGCAGGAGTTGACATATTATTCCGGCAGACTTGGTGCAGATCTCTCCCGCAAATATTTCTGAATCTGATTCGTGCACCACGAACGGCCGATTGAGGATTATAAGGATCTGATGGTATAATATGCTTAGCACAGGATTAGCTTTGTCAAGATATGTGCTATAGGTGGTATTATCTCACTGAAGCTGGAGCACAATCGGTGCTGGCACAGGGGAAGGCTGTTCTTCCCCATAGTCGACACGAAGCGCTGGAGGCAATGCTGCTAGCCATTGCTGGAGTTGTTTAGCCATAGCTGGAACGAAGAGCTTAGCGTCTTCCGAGACAGAAGCGCCCCCGCAGTATCTGGGAAAACATTAGCAAAACATCAAGGCGGACGTTTTCTGCTGGGTTACAGTGAGTCGTAGATCTTTCGCAGCTTTATGGCCATTTGCACAACACATGCGGTGACTAATCCAATACCAGAACCGTCGAAAGCAAGTGGCAGCTTCATCGGTGCGCCGTCTGCATGAAATGGCTGCCAATCGCTATTGTTCAACGCATCCAGACCAGGGGCATCATATCGCATCCTGCTCATCAAGTACGGTCGTCCACTATAGCTACTATGGTACCTAGGATCCCGGAAGGACGGTCAGCTATTCTATCATCTCACGAATGGCTAGTGCTTTGCTCCCGCTTCAAGGCTACATGGGTGAAGAACTTACATGTCTGCGGAGTACACAGTCCAAAAGAGACTTCTACGCACGTCTTCGAGACCTCGAGTGTTCTCTTCACTGCTAAGATAATCGTCGTTGGTGTCGAGACGAAGATGCAGCCCAAGATCTGTGGTCATCTGGACTGCGACGCCTATAGCCGCCTGTTAGTCCCGGCGCGCGGTATCGATTCTTGTCATCGAACCTGAGTAAATCCAACCTACGTATCATAAGTCCAAGGTCTAGCCTGAGTGCGTAGAAGAACTAACCTCGAGAGTCATGGCCGTTCGCTGACTCAAAAGCGGATAAAATCACTGCTGCTTGCGTTGTGGCTATCGTTGGGCGGTCCATTTCTGTTTCTAGGTATAACCGGGTCCTTGCGCCAAAAAAGTCTGACGGACTGTCCTGGATGGCAGGATGCCGTCTTGTCGAATACAATGCGCCGATTGCAAGACTGGAGACCAATTTAATAGGCGCCTAACTCTGGAGATGCTTCCTGACTTACACTGCATTCTCAAGTGCTGGCGAGAACAGCGCAGTTTCATAGCCCCTGTAGTACATCTCTTTTTGATGAAAGTAGGTCTCCTTCTTCACTTCCCTGACGAATGTGTTATGCCACGCAAAATAGAGACGTGTCAGATGGAGCTCATATTCGGAGTCTGGCGTCCAGCCCAAATGCGCCCGTTTGACCACTATTTCGCCTTCCTCGCGGAAATTGCGCATATCTGATCGATAAAGGGTTCTGAGCTCATTAGGAAGCATTGAGAGATGGCTGGTTGCACCAAAATACCGCATGTGTCCATCTTCCGTAAGACACATACGACCAAGTCGTCTCGATATCTGTTGAGTGATATCGTCTTCAGAAGTCTGCGACCTTTGATCGAAACTGTTTGCATTGAAACTAGGACCGCTTCCGGAGCTTTGACTAGGCGACCTCGACTTGGTTTTCTGGCTTGCATCGGAAGTGACGGACGAAATCCGTGAAAGAGATTGTTCATGTCCCACGTTTTCCCATAACGTTGATATGGACTCAATTCCAGCTTCGTACTCCGCCATCATATTAGACGATTGTCCGATGTCGGGAAATCCAGTCAGGCCAGCTTGTGTGTCATCAACCTGCTCCCAGAAGTCCAAATCGATGTCTCGGAAGACAATTGGTGTCGAGGAAGAATAGTCAGGGATTGCCGTGTTATAAGGGACAGTCACAGTTGTGGAAGAATTCAGTTCCTCTCCTGCGTTTAAAAAATTTTGATTCGCCGCTTCTGGAGGCGTACCTCTGTCCATTAGATTAGGCCTTTGAGAAATGCTCTCATCCTTTGAAGCGTGGGCTAAGCGTGCTTCAACTTCCGCCAACCTGCCAGTGAGCTCATGGATGGTCTTTGTCGTCGACTGGGCTCTGTGAAGCAAAATTATGAGTTCTGTATTCTCATAGGTTATCTTGAACCGACCTGCGTTTGTCCTCCCCAGGAATACAGTCCGTGTTATACAGTTGGCAGTTTGAGCATTTGGGATGCCCGTTATCGCACTTTAGCGGGACTTAGCTTCTTGGACATTGGGTTTCAGAACAAAGCCGGGGTCCGGCGGCTACTTACTCTTATCTTCTTCTTGCGGCACTGCAGACAGGCCAAACGAGCATATCGTTTTTGGGACCCTTGGACTCGCTTATCCATCTTTTTGCGTACCGTAGCCTTACCTCGCCCAAAAGAAGAGAAGCTGGAGACTCCAAATGTACCGCTGTTCGGTTGTAAACCAGGTAAACAATCGACGGCTGCACGAAAGAATGGCTAGAGTAAACTTGAGGAGCAGGACGTTGCTATCCAGCAAGTTTTGCGGGGTTCAAGTGCTCCTTTAACCTATATTCCCCAGACTCCAAATCGTCTAAAACGCTCAGGCGGAGTCCCCAGAAAAAGGGTGCAAAGAATCTAACTAGGTCTTACTCTGGACCAGCCATAGGCACTCGGAGGGCGGCACATTGAGTTGGCTGGGCAGACCGTCTCGTTCGCTAGCGTCCGAGGCACCTTCTATGCTGGTGGCACGAGAGCTGCGCTACTTGAGATTAGGTACCACCATTTTGACCCCGACTTTGTCAGGAAAGTCGAAAGAAATCTGCAAAAACCATCATCTACTGACATGTGCATCGCACGCCTACCGATGTATGGATGCTAAACAGGAGTACAGGTCTCAATTCTTCTATGCCAATTTCGTTACGGGTTTGCTACCAAGGATATGCCCGTGATTAGTAGCCTTCCAGGCACCGGGGCCGTAAATGTGAAGAAACCACAATGTCGAAATTCGGAGATGTTTGTCCGTGGAGATCATTTCGCCGAGCCGCGTTCTCCGGGGCATAGGATGTCGTGAGACTTGAATATTGGGGCTGTTTTGGACTCAACAAGCGGTGCTATTTCTGTAGTCAGCAACCAGGCTCTTCTCTCAGGGAACGAGAACAGAATACGGGCATGACACTGACTGCTGTTTGCCGGGTAGGTGTTGTCTTCGGATGAATCAACCACGAACGAGCGGAATGACAAACCCATGGCACACGAATTCCACGGACTCTATGCCGAGGTCCGCATGGGCTGATGTTTTCGATGAAGGGTGTACTTCTATCCAGGGATAGCATATTATCAATTATCAATTCCACCTTTCAGAACATGGTACCGTCCATTCATTTGCACGCGATCACAAAAAATGCTGAGTGGTACGAAAGGCTTTGATAAACTAAAATGGGATCAATCGACGCTGCCGAGAACTGCACTGTGTTCAAGACTAGCGAACAATACTTGGGCGAGCCTCGACCCATCAAAATAATCGTTATTGGTGCAGGACTTTCAGGCATCGCGGCAACAAAAATCTTTCGCGAACGCTTTTCTGACAAACCAGCAATCTTGGTCATCTACGAGAAGAACGACGACGTTACGGGCACCTGGCTCGAAAACAGATACCCTGGGTACGAAATCCTACGACTTCCTGATGCGTTCATCGTCAGGATCACTGAATCTTTACTCATTCGTCTTGATCCGCTAGCTGCTCGTGCGACGTGCCGGCTCATGCCTATACTTTCTCATGGGAAGGAAACCCAAATTGGTCTCACGCCTATGTCAGTTCTGAGGAACTCTTCCATTACTTCAAGGGCCGAGCTAAGGCATACGGCGTTGATCAATACGTCCACCTGCGCCACCGTGTACTGGGGTGTGAGTGGAATGGAGAATCTGGACTGTGGCAAGTTGAAGTCCTTGATACAGTGAATAACAGGAGTTTCGTGGATGCTGCCAACATCGTCATCAACGCCTGTGGCTTCTTGAAGTAGGTGTATGCTAATCCCCTCGCAGGTCAACCTGCTGACTGCGCTAGCAACTGGAAATGGCCTGATATATCTGGTCTGCATGATTTCGGTGGTCATCTGGCACATTCGGCGCATTGGAACGACGACTTCTCTTTCAAGGATAAGAGAGTTGCAGTCATTGGTAGTGGATCCTCTGCAATCCAGATCGTCCCGCAGCTACAGCCAGGTATGTCTCCTTTTCGAGAGCTATAAAACATCTACTTATGCTTCTATGGTTGTCAAGCACCTTACTTCCTTTAACCGCTCGCCCACGTGGGTGGTGCCTGAGTTCGCAGAACAATTTGCTCCAGAAGGGCGAGAAACGAAAATCTCTGAGGAACAAAAGGCAAAATGGCGCAACGACCCCGAATCCTTTCTCAAATACCGCAAGGAAGTCGATTCGGTCATGAATCACTTTTTCGATCTGCAGTACAAAGACTCCAAGCTCCAGCAGGATTCTATTGAGGCAACCAGAAAGGCCATGGAAAAGAGATTGGAGAAAAAGCCACAGCTTGCCAAAGTGTTGGTACCTGGATTTGCTCTTGGGTGTCGACGGTAAGTCCAACCATCTTACTTAGCTATACCGCCTGACTGAAAATAGGATTACACCAGGACATGGCTACCTAGAGGCACTAGTCCAAGACAACGTTGACGTAAGGACAGACGAAATCCTCAAAATCACCAAGACAGGCATCGACATGATCGACGGCAGTCATATAGAATGTGACGCAATTGTCTGTGCTACCGGCTTTGACACATCCTTCCGACCATTCTTCCCAGTCGTCGGTCCTGCCGGAGTGGATTTGAGGGACGTGTGGGCGGAAGAACCACGGTCATATCTATCGGTAGCCGCGGCTGGCTTTCCAAACTATTTCAGTAGGTTTCTCACCTGCGCCATGTCGTGTGCTAATGGAGTGCTTCAGTGACCAGCGGCCCAAACTTTCCGCTTGCAAACGGCGCTTTGATTCCATGTCTTGAGAGATGTGTCCATTATGCGTTCGATGCGGCAATCAAGCTACAGAGTCAGAACATCAAGGCAATGTCGCCGCTTCCCGAAGCTGTGGACGACTTTCAAGAGTACAAGGACGAGTTGATGAAGGACTTGGTGTGGTCCTCGCCCTGTCGTTCATGGTAAATCCACTAAGGCAAACACATCAGTTGTATCCCAGGACTAATTTGACGCATAGGTATAAGAATGGAAAGGTCGAGGGCAAGGTATGGGGTCCATGGCCAGGCTCATCTTTGCACTTCCTAGAACTTATGAGCGAGCCGCGGTGGGAGGATTGGAACTTTGAATACAAGACCCAAAACCGGTTTCAGTATCTCGGCAGAGGAAAGACACAACGTGAAACAACTGATGGTGCTGATCTCGCATGGTATATAACTGAATCAGGCGGCTCTTGTAAGGAAGTCTGAGTAGGCACGGCCATATACAGAGCCATGAGAGCCAGCAGGCTGAGGTCAGGAACATAGTAGACAATATAGTTAAGGGTCTAGGGGAACCCCTCACGATATTTTACGGAGCGCTGCGTAAGATTCACGCTGTGTAGGTTCTAGTCGTGTGTAGAAAATACAGCTCATGCACAAGGCTGGGGGACAATGGAGAGGGAAGAGCGACACAGCCGGTTCGAATCGACCGAGGGCCGGTTGGTCCGAATCGCTCTGCTTCCCCGCATTCCTCTCTGAGGAATTGCATTGTCAGTGCCGAGACCCTTGTTGGAGCTTCATTAACAACAGCAAGCACATATCGGAGGGCGGGCCGGCGTCAACAGAGGTGAGCTCCCACGGGCAATACCCCCCCTAGGGCATGCCGGGGATGCCATCGACGCAAGATCAAGTTTAACGCATCCACAATGGGTCTGCCCTGTGGAAACTGCGTACGCTGTGGCCTCATCTGCGAAGTTGTTTGACAGTCTCTGGGCAAAAATTATAGTGTAGACTTCATATCCCAGCGAAATAGTGTTCTGTTACAGTCATGTTGCGTATGGGCGTCTAAAACTTAATCTTTTCGGAATCCGGTCCACCATTCGAAGCCGTCGGTGCGCATATGGAATGCGTCCAGCATCCTCCCCACGCTCTGATCAATCATGCCTTCCAAGTTCTTTGGTCGCGTATAGAAAGCGGGAACTGGACAGCGCCCGCCCTCCGGAGAAACAGCATGTTATCGAGATAGATGTCGCTCAAGGGCGTCTCGCGGATGGCGAGAAGAAGCTTCCTGCTCTCTTTCAGAGTAACGTCGGCTGCCCGAGAGATCAAGTCATCGGAATAGTCGATGCAGATGGCCGCCAACGTTTTCATGCTGCACGGCACCACGATCATACCATCGTGCTGGCAGGTGCCGCTTGAGATTGGGGCTGACAGATCCTTGGCCGTGTACGAGGTAGTTGTGCGTCGCAAGACTGCGCAACTCCAGTTCCGATAGTGGTGTCTCATATTTCATCGTTGCCACCGCCCATTTACTCATCACTAGGAGCGACTCAATATCAAGCGGGCGGAGGATCTGGAGGATTCGCACGGCAAACACCACCCCAGTGGCACCCGTTATGCCGACCACGAGTCATTTGTGAGAAGGACACGGAAGGGGATTGGGACTGAGAGTGTCTGCGTATGTCCATGAGCAAGGCGTGGTGTGTATACTCCTGTACGAAGCTCTACGGACGTTGTTGCTTAAGTTCTTTCTGGGCAGGATAGACCGAAAGAAGATAGTGGAATTTCGAGGAGACCACGTTTGTACAAGATCGAGATTTCACTGCCGCTGTTGCTGTTGCGGCCACGAAGAAAGTGCGATATAAAGATACTCTCAGCAGATGCTCCCCCGTGGGAAGACTCGATGTTGTGTTGCCAACCTTGCAATTTGATGGGTTCGGGTTTGGTGCGTGTCCACCTTGCGCTGGGGGTAGTACTCTGTGTTCAATAGGGATGGTCAACACATTCCGACAGCGCTCTTGGCGAGGAGGATTTTCGCAAAGACCGGAATCAAATACAATTAGCATTACTGCTCCCAATTTTTCCCCAATTTTTCTGCCTGATTTTGTTTACACAACCACCTTTCTAACAAGGAGGTGATTATTTGCTCGTTTACAAACTCAGAAACCCCGACGCAAGAAGGCGAAGGTCCGCCTGGCAGCCTAGCGGTCCCTCGGACTTATTGCTGGCTGTGCGTGTCCTTCATAACTATCTGACGGAGATATGTGTCCGCTTTGGGAAAAGCGTTACAGCTAAGAATTCTTCATGCCGAGTCATGGACATTAGACCCTTATTTATTGAAGCGGACCTTAATAGATCCAAGAATGTTGTCCGCATTTGAAACAGGCCACAAATCACGGCCAGATCTAACTGGTCCTCGGTTGCCTAGAGCAGTTAGAGCTTGTGTATACCCCCACAATCCCCAACACGAGTCCACAAGGCTCCAGGCACGAATTCTTTTTCACAAGCTCTGTCTGAACTCGGCCCTTCCAAAGCTTAGCCTTCTCTTTTATGCTTCTCTTGATTCCCTCCGGCACCATCTGGCGGCATTTCGCTTAAAATATCCGAATCTCCGCGCCGACGGTAGGAGGCAGGCTAGGAGCCCTCCGCCATGCCCTGCCATAACTACGGGATCTCCCGTCACTTCAACACCGGATTCCGGTATACTTCCCCAGATCAACTCCTGCTTGAGGGAGTCGTCTGAGGTATATGAAACAGCATGTTCTTTCACAGACTGATCCTGATCGCCCTAGACTACAAGCCGTCTCGCTATTCCACTATCCTGCTCATTTCTACCTGTCATCATCGTAGCAATGGACAAGGCTGAAGCCAGTGTATCTCACAACGAGGGTAACTGGAGCCTACACCGGTACCGTATTTGCTTAAGACGAACCAGAAGGGACTGGTACTAGTGCCGCAGCCCACCGACGATCCGCACGATCCCTTGGTGAGAAATGAACCAACACGGACACAGAAAAAATAAAGAAAAGATTATCTGACCGAAAACTCGATAGAACTGGTCAGCATCCAAAATAGTGGTGACCCTGATGCTGGTCTCATTGGTGTCTTTCTCGACGTCTCTCCAAGCTGTGGCCAACAATTCTGGCTTCTCTGTGCAAGCGGAGGTCTACCACAAGACCGCAGTCCAGCTCTCGTACAGCATACGTTTTCATCCCACTCTGTCCATATTTTTCCCAGTAGCGATATTGAAATGGAAAAATTCCTTTAGGCATCTTCCGCTATCGCCGGACTGGGCTGTTGGACCATTCATCTGGAATCCGCTGGCGAAGCGTTTTGGGACTAGTCGATGCATCCTGATCAGTCTGTGTCTGACGATATGCATGAACACATGGTCTGCATGTATGACAAAGTCCAACCAGTACGGCGCTTTTGTCGTATCTAGACTGTTGGCAACCATCGCCTGTGCGGCCCCAACCACTGGTAAGCAACTCGTTTTCGAGGACCATGTGTCCATGAGCACCAGTCCCCGCTAACACTTTGCAGCGGGATCAAACATCATCCTGGAGATAATTTTCCTCCACGATCGGGGGAAATGCTTCTCCATCTACACATCGATGAACCTTCTCAGCATCATTGCCACGAGCACCTTGTCCGGATTCACTGTCCATAACGCCACCTGGACCGTTCAATATTGGTATAACGTTGGGTTTGAAGTGTTCCTCACCATCTGCTGCATCCTGCTGCTAGATGAAACAGCATACCCCAGGGTGACAACCCTGAGCAGCCGATCCTCCCGAGGAACTACATCCAGTGCAAGCTCGCAATCTACGGGTGCACGAAGAGAATAACTCCTCCACAAACCTGTCGAGAACTGGCGTTCACTAGTGTATTACCAGTCCTCATTGACATCTCACCGGTAGGTGCGTTGATCGGGCTCTTTCTCATTGCCATGTTCAGCTGGGCCGTGGTCATCGCCCCCGACACATCCATCTACTTGCAAACACCAGTAAAGGAAGGGGGTTACGGATTTATGCCGTACCAAAATGTTTACTGTGTTTTCCGTCGAACACCCCTATTTTGCATAGCACGGATTTAACAGAAACTCTTCCGCAGTTTCATTCACGTCATGGATTGTGGTCTTTGACTCCCAGATCTATTGCCACTTCGTCAATGACCGGCTGGCTCTGAAGATATGTGCCCACCGCGGTGGCACTTGGAAGCCCGAATACCGACTTCAAGCCCTGTGGTTCCCGAGCCTCTTCCTCTACCCGGTATCGTTGGGTCTTGTCGGCGCGACGCTCTTCTACCATCTGCACTTCATAGGCCCGGCGTCTGCTGTGTTTTTGACGACCATTGCTTCCACATCGGGCGTTTAGGTAGTCTTTCTTACTCCGTCGAATGTTTCACGGACCACCCCAACGAAGTCGTCGTGGTGGTCAATCTGTATCGCCTCGTGTTTGGCATTGCTGTGACGTTCTTCATTTTCCCATGGTCTGACGCGGGGGGGATCAATTGGCCATACGGTATGATGGCTTTCTTCACGGCGGGATCGTTCATTCCAATCTCTGTCCTGATGCTATGGGGTCCCGATATCCGTGCCAGAAGCCTCACTGCAGGGAAGAGTGACGATGGCGTGAAAGTGTCTATCAAGGGCCACTCCGATGTCATCAAGGCGTGACAGTGACCCTTCAGGGTTGGGTGCTGTGCGCACCTCAAGTTTCTCAGTAGGTGATACAAATGGTGTTCGATATCGGCCTCATAACAATAACAGCGCATTGCTATGTTATTAAAATCCTAAGACTGAGCTCTCCCCCTTGTTTGGGTGCTTCGTCGAACAGGCAATGTTATAGCCGTCTCGCTGGAATGGGACGATATGAACAGGGTTTGTTCACAGTCGCGTCTCTCTAACAAATATCTCTTTGTCAATCTCACTGTGCAGTAAGCCGCGTTCGGCAGCGAAGTACACTCGAGGTTCTTCCAAGGAAGCTTCCAGCGCAGTGATTCTGTCGCATAGATTGGAAAATTGGCGTTCACTCTAAATGCGGCTCACCAACCACAAAAACGTCTCTGGCGCACAATCTTGACCACTGTTAATAAACCAAGGCCTGATAGGAAAGCGATTGGATTTGCACGTGCTAAGAAGAGTCGAATGTCTCACGTGAGGAAGATAGAAACCTACGCATGCAAGGTAACGCCAAGAAGCCAAGATGTCCCGTTTAGGAAGGGGAGTTCTAGAGCGGTGATTGGTGGACAAGTCGCCAACGCTGATTCTCACGGCGGAGGAGTGGGTATTTTCTTATCAAGGCGCGGTGGATTTTGTTCGCGGTTCAATGTATATATAAGTGACTGATAGGAATAACAGATCTTTGGATGGAGAGTTACCCCAAAAACATCAGAGATAGAGCATCACACCGGATCTCAAAAAACTTTTTATTACCGCCCATCCTTGGCCTTCGAGGATCTCTGAGCAAAAGGAAAATTCGGTGACAATAGCACTAGCGCCTGCCATTAGTTGGTAAACCGCAGGATAGGAAACCATGCATTCCCTTCCCTCCTCGACCGAGACTCTCACGTTACATCTCGCGATATTGATCTGCGAAGTTCTCCCGCCGCCCGTCTCCTGCCTGCGCGGTCCCTTTGATCAGATCTTTCAAGATTTCTTCGACCGCGGGGCGAAACGGTTGTCGGAGAACAACCATAACGAACAGTGTCCCGGCGGCGCCAAGAAGCAGATCCAGGTGAGAACGACGCCCTACAACGCCACGGCGGGGCAGTTGCCGGAGGCAGAGGCGTTGGAAGAGCTCGATGGACTGGTCGTCACGGGCAGTTCGGCGGGGGCGTATGAGGATATTGAATGGGTTAAAAAACTAGGGGGCTTCTTGCAAGGTTAGTGGAATGGAGGTGTCTGATTCCATGTGCCTGCCAAGGAAGCATAAGAACACTACGAGGACGAGACCATCATTCATGAGGTTGGAGCTTCTGTCCAGGGCCGAAGAATTCGTACCAGAGTACCTCCTCTATGGTTTCTGCCTCCAGAAATCCTCTACGACTTTCAATCCTCCAACCCAAAATCCAGACTAACACCGTTCTCCTCCTTGTAGACACATACCACCAGCACCCCAAGGTGAAAATTTTCGGAACCTGTTTCGGCCATCAAATCATCAATCAGTCCCTCTTCGCCCACACGGGGGGCCTCTACGTCACGAAGAACCCACGAGGTTGGGAACTCGGCGTGCATGAAATCACGATCAACCCCAAATTCGCCAGTTGCTTTCCTCGGCAACTCAAATCGTCTGCCGCTGCCGCCGCTCGAGCTTCGTCATCTCCTCGGATCCAGCTCCAACTCTCGCACCAAGACACGGTCATTGTCACTCAGAGTACGCAATTGCCCTCCGAGTGCGTGGAAGTTGGATCCAGCGCGCTCTGTGGCATGCAGGGAATGTATGTGCCTAATCGCGTCCTAACATTGCAGGCACATCCAGAATTTGACCGTGCAGTGAACGGCGCGTGTATCAGCGAGATTGTGGGGACCAGCTGGCCATTGGAAGAGACGAGGGAATATTTGCGCATGGCGGATAGAGATGATGACGCAGCGTTGATGGAAGAGGTGGTGATGGAATTTTTGCTTCAGGCCCCCACGCCTTAAATGATTCTCGCCATAGAATTTTTCTTTGGTTCTTTTCGGGCTCCGAAACGACTCATCTGCCAAAAGGCTTGGGCGGAATTTAGACCGATGAAAGAGGGTGATCTACCATTTAGCAGCAGCGCATAGACTGTGCATAGGTATATATGAATGTAGTGACCCCCGGGAGAGCAAACCCAGCAGACTCATTTCAACCCCAAAACGCATGCGATACATGAAGCAGCGCCTCAATGCAGACCTCCTTCTCCTAGAAAGGTTCCAATGTGGACCAAGAGCAACGTCAAACGCATTGGATAGGGTCTCACTGAATTTTGTTTTTCCTTTCTCCATGTCCACAAATATTCCAATCTTATGGTTCTGCTTGGACGGAAGATATATATTTGTAAACGTCTAGTTCGCCTTCGCGAGCATTCTGATAGAAGCCATCACAACCTCTTTGCAAAATCCTCCATCGAATGAAACTCAATACCAAGTCCCAACGTCTCCTTTTCCGGAATGGGAAATTCCGAGTACAGCCTGTGGTCGTTGTAATACTCGTACATGAGATCTAGATCCTTGAACCCCGACGTCGGCGTAGTGACCACCCGCGTCTGCTTTCCCGTCTGCCTCTGAACCTCCTCAGCCACATCTGCAGTGCTATGATACCCGCCCACGCAGTAAACCTCTCCGCTGGCCAGTGGCTTTGTGCGGTAGTTCTTCAGGATCGCATCGACGGCGGGCCTGAGGTCGCGCTCCGTCCAAATCATCCCTATTTTAGTCCCCGGCCTCGTGACGGGCTGGGTGACTTCGATGACGCCGTCTGCAGCAATCGAGAGAAACTTGAAATTGGGCCAGTTGTCGTAGTAGCAGCCCAGATACATCTCGACGTGGGGGATTTTGATCTTCTTCAGGTAAACAGAGACGTAAAATTTGTTCTCGACTACGTGAGCAAAGGCGCATTGGGCATTCGTTCGCAGTATGGAGCTGGGAACGGTGGACCAGATGACAAACCCCACACCGACTGCTTTGGCGGCGTCGGCGATGGCGATTTCCTGCTGCGCTTCGGCAAGTGGGTTGGATTGGTTCTCTGGGTTGTAGAAGTTGGTCAACGTGTAGACCGCCTCGACGCCTTCGAACGCCTTGACCAGCGACGCAGGATCGTTGAACTGCGCCTTTACGACCGATACATTAGGAAGACGGGGCTAACGCTTTCGCCGCGGCGCTAGAAGGATTGCGAGTGACTCCTCGAATGTCATAGTCCTACCGTGTCGAGAGGTGTCAAACAACCTATATTGTACCTGTCAGGATTAAAGATTGCCTTTTGCTTCTTCGGGGGCGAAATATCACTTACAGAACCGCCCTGAACCCCTGTTGCTCTGAGCACCGCAATGGGACGCTTGGAGGACATCGTGATAAACTACGGCTGACGAGAAACCCGGTTCTTCACCCAGATGGCGTTAGATATCTGCGTAATGTTCACTAGGATCGGCCGCGCTTTTATCCTCCCACTCTGGCTTCGTGAATCGGTATGCCAGCCGAGATGTCTCTGGTGAGAATCCTTGTCGCTGGTCATTCGAGGAGATCGAAAGAGTTTCTTCCCCACTTCCCATCATTTTTATCCCCATATTTCCCCACAATGTTTTTTCAATGTGTCACTTCTTGTCATCGTAAGTTCGTCCGAGTCCAGAGGGGCCCAAACTTAATCTTGCTATAGATGTTTGTGAAGGTACTACTTTCCTTGCCCTCGGTTATAAATGGTGTAGAAATGTCAACTTTTACTCTAGTTGGATTGACTGAACTCACATTCTGGTGTTTTTGTTGGGATATGCTTTATGATTAGTAGTTTTGAAAGACCACGGGGTCGTTGGTCCTATCGTCAACTCCATCTTCCGTGAGGGCGTCTGCAATGATATAGAGAACTCCACAGACATCCGAGCTACACCACATACCCACATCATCCAAGAGGTTGGCAAAGTGAGCAAGAATTTGCCTTGCCGAAGCATACCCTCCGGTGAGAGGGATGCCGTCGAAAGTTAGATCTCCCTTATGCGCAATGACGTCCGCCTCTGGCAACAGGTCAATTCCCATGCCATGATATGGACTACCTTCCACGGCCACATCACCCAGATCCCACCAATCCAGGTCAGCCAGGGGCTCGTAGCTATTTTCTCGTGTGGGAGCATCCGCGTCAGCCTTCATGCCGAGGACGTAGAGACCGAGAACGAGGGCTGAGGGGAAAGGGCTCGTCTCTGAGTGCAGCATCATTCTATCAGATATTTCCCTTTCGAGCGTATCCAAAAGATCTGAGCTGCGTGTATACAAGCTCACATAGCCGAAAGAGTGTCTGCCCAGGAGGCAATGCAAGCCAAAGCTGCTCTGGCAGGCTCCGCACCTTTCTGGCCAGCCCTAAGTTCGAACATCCACGAATTACTCAGCAACATCACCCACAAAATATTCCACATGATCAGAGCATGAGGATTTCGCGTTTTGCAGCGTACCGCCGTGTAATTGCATGGAATTCATTAGAAATGGTGCAATGGATTTTGCGCTGTGGTTAGTCGAGTAGACTTCGCACGGGACGAGTCTCCACCTGTGACCTAACAAGCCGCTCCGTGATAGAGGTCTGCGATGAGCCTCAGACAAACGAATCCAGACAGCGGCAAGAACGCCGTGCAGGCTCTCGGAGCCTGGATAAGACAGCAAAACTTGATCGGCGTGAAACGCCAAGGTTGCGGACCAAGTCCTATTGCCTAACAGCAGAATTCTCCTCCATTCCGATTCGGATGGGGTGATGAAGAGTTTCCTATCGCAAGGCAGGTACAAGTTCAACATCTGGGTCGGAATGGTCGGGTTTAGATCCAGTCTATTCGAGTAGAATGCGTCAACCATCACGACGGCGATGATCAGCCTGCAATGATCAGTGATGGTAGAAACTGGCGGCATGAGGCTCGATGACACACCTCTTGATCGATTCACCTCGAGCCTAGACCTTCCATCCATAGCAGCGCGCCAGATCTTCATCCGAAATGTCACTCTCTGTGGTTGAGACTATGTCGATGCCGAAAAGGCCATGAGCAATCATCAACTAGTATTCGTCAGAACTCAAGGGACCAGGACAAGGGACTATGAACCAACCGACACAGTCTCTACCCTTGGAGTCTACGACATGATTCCGCATTGCTCTTACCCTAGATATCTGGTCAGTCGTAAATATAGCATGCAAATCTTCTGGAATAGCATACCGTAAGAAGGGCCGAGAGCTCGGCGAGGTGAGAGCTTGCCAGGATGACCGATATTGACACCGGAGTAGTTTTCGACGTGGTCGCTGAGCTCTTGTCGACAGCGTGCTACGGGGACCAGTCGGTTAGTGCAATTCGACCTTTGTCCTCGCTTTTGCAAGAATTAGGCATGCAGGATGTCGGGTACTATTAGATTCTCCTCCAGAGCTGTTGTGCCGTGGGACCCTTCAGTTTGACAAATCCCGCCACGCATAATGCCAGGAGTAACACATCAGGAGTCTTCCTGGCATCAAACGTGGGAACATGGATGGCGGGCACAAAGGGGTGAAGTTAATCGAAGAAGAGGTCTAAGCTGAAGTCAAGCGTGCTGATCGAGGGGATTTTCGTGGATGCACCGCAATTTCCGTCCCGCCGATCCTGGAATATAATATCATATAGGAATTCCTGTCCACTTGCGGTTTCTAGATTGGTGCTTTTGTACTGAGGGATCTCGAGGCAGCCTTCTGGTCGAACCCCCTTGAGACATCGTATGATGCGGCATCTACAACTCTCGTCAAATTTCTATCTCGACGCAGTAATCGGTTCTGCACAAACACCCCGGTTGTTTGATATACGCGAGAGAATATATCATCTTCAGAGTAGGCAATGATCCGAATCTAAGCCGGTTGCCGCTGGGCACGTAGGTCTTCGTCGCAGGCCAGCACTGATGGACCTTGTCGAACAATTCGTCGGGTATGCACTCTCTAGAAGGACCCTTCTCCTGAGTGTGACCTAGGAGCCAAAAAGCTGAACCAGGAAGAGATAGCCAATGGCTTGGGAATATCATGTCGACAGCAGCAGGCTCTGCAGTGTTCCAGAAAAGGTCGCTTGTTTGATGGTTATTCGCGAGGTCGAACCAGAAGTTGCCAGTGTCTTCAGACTCCCATGGAGCCATTCCGGGGCATCCAACGTCGACAGCAGCATAGAAGTCGACACTCACAGCGGGCGCATCGGTGTAATAGTCGTGTTGTAACGACAATGAATTGGAGGGCAGCACGGCCACCATGTCCCCAGCTCCTTACCGTGACGGATCAACGTGAGCCGATGAAAAATGCACCGGGTCAGCACTAGCAGCTTCAACTTTAACCTGAGGCGAGTTCTTCAGTGATAAATGCTAGTCACGGCTCTCTCGACCGTCTCCCCGTGTTTCGGAGAGCCGCTCGTGTCGGCGGTCTGGCGGCTCAGGGACACTTGATGTTCTGCATGAAGCGCCTGTTGTTCTGGATATGACGGCTGAGAACATCCTGCACGTATGGTCAACTAGGTTCTCAAAAATGCTGCAGACTCAGGGTCTGACTTTCGAGAAAAGCGCTTTCCACAGTGTGAACATTCGAAAGGACGTCACCCGTGTCTACAACAAACATAGTCAGCCGATTCTTTCCCAGGCATCCTTCACTCTCTGAATAGCCAGGGGGACAGAACACAATCAAGCAGAGATCCACTGTCATTCTGTGTACGACAGTTGGAGTCTAGCGCCACCAAAATTAGGTGACCTGCTTTTTGTGCAACATTCTCTACAGTGACATTTCTATTCTCGCTACTCTCTTTATTCTAGATCTCGCCGCTGCCTCTTTGTATAGTATCCTTTAACGTCTAAGCTCAGTGTTCCGTTTACGAATTTATTTATCTCCTCTAAGCCCTAGTGACGCTATTGACGATAAAGAAATATTGCGGACTAGTTTAGAAGAGTTCTTAAGCGAAGGATCGCGGCGAGAGGAAGGCCCATGGTATTCGTGGCCATCGATGAAAGGTAAACGCCGAAGTTGGCGGCGACCAGGCTATATATCTGATACATTAGAATTATATATTGTAACAGAGCTCTCCAAAGTTCCGCATGCACGTGCAACAACGCGCAGCGGCCTGTCCAGCAGGTTGGGAATCGAGAACGCGATTCCGGTTGACGCTGACAGGACAACATCACCGCTAACACCACCCCCAGAGAGGCAGCAGCTCGGGCAGCGAGCGCCTAGCACGGCGACGGCATCGAGAAAAGGGAAAGGGCCGATGAAACACTTAGGAATAGGTAGACGGAATCGAAAAGATGGAATACTCTGTCAAACTGTAAAGAATGGCACACTGCCAGCACTGTATACTGTCTCACACTCCCCCCTACCAGCTCTTGATTTTGGTTTGACATGTGATTAGACAACACCCCTTCCTGCTAGCCCTTTACCAGCATTGCACAGCCACTTTGCCTTGTTACAATATGTACACGATTTGTACGAGATGTGACCAGAAGAAACGAACGCCAGCTAAATTTGGTGGTGTTCGTTTCTGCCAAGTATTAAGCGAATTCGCTGTGGTACGAAATCGCTGGCGCTGTCGCTGTCCAGAGTCATTCCTATGATTTCATCTCCACTGCTCTGAGCCAGAGAACAACCAAAGGCGAACCTGACACATGCTCGACATATTTGAATAGGTGCTGCGGACGGCGGCTATACTCGCGGCTGCAGGCGAGATGAGATGGCTGAGGTTTGTGTTATGGTGCTGGACTAGCACCGCCTATCCGCAGTGACCATATATATAGTTCGAGTAGTATCTAGCCACCAGCGAGCAAGATTCTCTCGCTATCGCAACGACAATCTCTCAGCATGTCTCCAGACTCTGTGGTTGGTCCTCTGTTGGACAACGTTCTTCGGATACTGAGATCTCATTTTTTTTTTGCCTGGTGCTCCTCTTGTTACCAGTGGGGAGGGGACTATACAAACGTCTTAGTTCACTGCTAAGGACATGGCCTGGGCCATTGCTGGCGTCATGCTCGCGGGTCTGGAAGTTCTGGATCACGTACAAAGGCCACAGAGAACATGAGTACATGGACCTCCATCGCAAATATAGTACCGTCCGCTACGTGCGCCACGCGACCCCTCCTGGCAATCAAGGATTGGTAATGACCTGTTCTTGATCCTCAAAGGTCCAATCATCCGCATGGGGCCAAGCTAGCTGTCTTTTGCGTCTCCTGAGGCGGCCAAAGATATTTTCGCGGTGAGAAAGGGCGTCGAGGGTGTTTCCACCAGCCGACAATCCAGATAGATGTCTTCACAGAGATCCGCGAATGGAACCACAGGCAGTTGAAGCGGTTTACAGTCCAACCGTACAACTTAGCACGCTTGCAAAAGATGTCGTCCCCCGTGGACGCCATCGAAAAGGAGCCCATGAGCAGACTCGATAGATTTGCCAGCGCTGGGCAGGGACGTTGTAGCCTTCGGGACTATCTCCATTACTTCACCTTCGACGTAAGTCTACCTCCCGATGTGCTCAACCGGGTTCAAGCAAGAATCTCTAGGTTCTGGGCGAAGTTGCTTTCTACCACCGCTACGGCTTCGTTGGCACAGGCACCAATGTTGAGGGTCGCATAAAGTATATCGACGACGTCCAATTTTACGATGACCTCGTCGGGCATATCCCATGGTTGCATTACCTGCTGCGGCTCAACCCCCTGGCGCCATACATTCCTGGCCTGAGTCTCAAGCCTGTCCTGCTAACGCGCATGGCCCTTGAGGAACTGCAGAATGGGAGAAAACTGTACAATAAGCGCAAGTCAAGCACAGAGCGGGAAGACTTGCTGGCGCAATTCATCCAGGGACCCCTTCGCGCTCCTGAAAAGTTTACTTGAGGCAGACGTGATTTCGGTGGCTCACGGAGCAATGTAAGCTCCTCACCCTCGAGGAACAGCAATAGTTGGGCTCCGCCCTCCTTCCCGTTCTATCCCTCCTTCTCGAACATCCCAGACATACTCTCTAACCACGATCTTTTAGTGGTGCTGACTTCGAGTCGACTGCGTCTTCTATGCATCCTTCTTCTATCTGCTTCTCAACTCGCCGTCCAGCTATCAGGCGCTCCTTTCAGAGCTTGACCCGGCCACTACCTCAGGGACGCTCTCGGACCTAGTCAGCTACCCCGAGGCCTAAAGCTTGCCATACTTTCAAGCATGCCTTCATGAAGCTATGCGTCTCCGTCCTGCTGTGGGCCTGAATATCTGCCGTAAAGTTCCACCCGAGGGTATATAGATCGACGGCACGTTCTACCCCAGCAGGACCGAAGTCGAAGCGAAGTGTTTGGGCCTTGCACCGAGACAAGACGGTATTCAGGCTCCATGCGGAGGATTACCGTCCGGAGCGTTGGCTGGATCCAATGCGAAATAGATGCACCGACACAGGTACCAGGTAAGCCCGCTTAGCCTCTTTCCTAAACGCAAGGCCTCCACTTCATGCCACCACTTACCAGGCGTCGACTGATGAAGAACGCCTGCAGTTCGGCAGCGGAAGCCATCTCTGCCTCAGCAGGAACCTGGCGCTGTTGGAGAAGTACAAACTGCTCCCACGGCTGTTGAAGCGATACCATTTTGAGGTGGTCCACCCGGGAAGGCCATTGAAGCATCGTACCACGTTCTTCATTGTGCAGGAGGGGCTAGAGGCTTACATATCGCTCCGAAATTGACGCCTAAGGTCCAAGGACTTGTTTCAAGCTGGTGGGATAAGGGATCCATCGCACAATTGTCGTATCTGGAACGTGTAGGCAGCAAACCTAGAGAAATGGCATTAGAAGAATCGTGGCGGGCACATGATATTCCACCACCTTGGAATTTCAAAGTCCTTTTTCGAAGCACCTCCAGCGTCTTTGGTGAGGCCAACTAGATACTCGTCGCATTGCCATTCTTCCGTCACTCAGGTGGACCTAGAACACCTCCACAAGCACAAAAAAAGACTAAAAAAAATGCCGTCAGGCCTCATGCTTCGATTCTATTTACGCTCGTATCCATTACAGTTTACGTCCTCGGAAACCAAACAGGTAATGAATCGATCCCGAGACCCGATAGGAGACCTGTGATTTCCTCTCACGCACATACCGTTGCAGCTGACACCAGATAGACTGTATTGGTGAGAGTCCCATTCACGAGATCCCAACCACGTTTGCAAGGATTTGCAGCCTCTGTTGTTCGCGCATCTCCACCTCGAAATGGAACCTGTTAGGTCCTGTATTGTTGCCAGGCTTGTAGTCATACCACGGCACAGGAATCACTTGGCCCTCCTCGTCCAATTTCTTCGTCACGCTGCATAGCCACATCAACATTGAGATCTCAATGAATAGCGACCGCTCTGCGAGCACAAGCCCGGGACAAATCCTTCGACCAAATCCGAAGGCAGGAAAGCGCTTGAGATTCGGGTATTGGGTCAGAGGTTCTTGGTAGGTTGGGTAATTCGGGTTTAGCCATCGATCCGGGTTGAAGGCCTCGGCGTCGGGGTATGTGGCTTCATCTTTGAACATGGCGTATTGGTTTGCGTGGACAGTAGCGCCTTTCGGGACGAAGAAGCCATTATATGTGTCGTCTTTCGTGGCGCGATGAGGAATACCTGATCAGTAGGAATCGTTACCTTCTGTCTACGTAGGCATGGATATGCATTGCCACATACCTCCGGGAACAACGGGTCTCCATCTGAGGGTTTCCTTCATCACCGCACGTACGATTGGTAGATCAGGACAGTCGTCGAACGAAGGCAGGTGGTCTCCCACAACGCGATCGATTTCGTCTTGGACCTTCTTCTGCCATTCAGGATAGTGCCACATAGCTAGACAGTAAGACTGCATGGCGGATGATGTAGTCCCAGACCCTCCTTCGAGCAGCGTCCCCATGACATAAGCGATCTCAAAATCACTCAAGTTCCAGGAACCCTTGTCGCTCACATACGCTTGGATCAAGGCCTGGGGTCTCTTGGCGTGGTCCTCCTCGGGGCGGAAATGCTGTTGACCCTCGGCGAGGAGATTGCGAAAGTAGGAATACTCAAATTCATGTAGCCGGTTTGCTTCCACCTTGAATGGCGCCAGCCACGACGGCAGGTACTTGAGGAAAGGGATAAAATCAACTAAATAGGCACCAGGAGCACCAGTTCGTTAGAGTGTACGGACTATTGCAGTTATCTTGTCGAGATGTTCCTTTTCTTCCGATCTTGTGAGGGTTTTGTTGTAGAGGACTCTGAGCGCCACTGTCGCCGAATAGCGCTCGAATAGGTATTCATACTTGCTGGCATCACTGACCAGGTCATACACTAGCCTTGCCGCCTGGTGTACCTGCACCGCATTCCATTGCTCAAGGGCGTTCGATGATAGCGTCGTCGATGAGAATTTGCGGCCGTTTTTCCAGTATTCATTTTGTGGACTGGATCCCAGATTGCCATATCTAGAGACAAGTTCGTGGAGCATGACGATCCGCGGGCGGTCTGAGTAATAGGATCCTCTTAGGGCAAGCAATTCATTCGCAATCTCGATATCTGAGATGACGACGTGGGTTTTGCCCAAGATCTTGACTTGGAAAATAGGTCCGTATTTGTCCGACCACTCCTTGAACTTGTGGTATGAGAAAGTCTTTGGAAACTCTAGTATGCTGCCGATTATTAGATAGCCCTTGGGCCCTGGGAGATCTTTGAGGCCGTCAGGCGTCTTTCGTGCGGTGATGAAAAGGCGCAGCCGCCATATGCTGGCTGCAAATGCCAGGGCGGCAAGGACACACGCGGAGAGCATTTTTGTTCCAAGCACCGGAACTCAAGATGCAGCCCACCACGTGAGCCGATGGCCTATCTTTGTCCGATACATCTTTCTTCGCATTGCGTTGTTCCTGGTCATATTTATCCTGATGCCCCGCGGCGACGAGGCTGCAAGGTCTCGGAGGCCGAAGCGTTGCGACTACGAAAGGTCACCGAGGAGTCTGACCCACATGTGGGCCTCCCCTCTCGGAACACCACTGGATTTGCCGATTCGGGCTCCTGGCCCTCGGAGGGACCATATCGTCAGTTTCTTGTTACTTTAGTTCGGAGAGGAGCCTTAACAATATTGAAGCTTTGCACTCGGGGGCGCTCTGGGGCACCCGCGGGTCAAAGGGCGTCCCGCTGTAGAATTCTAGGGCTGGTGGGCTTAGTTCTTCTGTTTCTGAATGACCTTTGCGAGACCGCGTCCTTATTCTCGCAGACGCAAATAACAGTGGCCTGCTCAATGTTATATCCACCAGAGCCTTCGAAGAAAGCGGGTGCCTGCTCTCGATGCCACGTACGAAAAGTCAAGTTCGAGCAGCCGTATCGAGGATGCCATGAGCTCTTGCTAACCGTTGACTCTACATCCAATAGAGTCCAGCCTTGCTAAAAGTGCCTTGTGCGTACCCTTGTTTCTTCTCCATGGATGGATAGAGCTGAATCATACTATTAGTAACATAACGCCTTTTGCGAGTATATCACCTCCTATAGGGGGAGGAAGCCCCGAGTGTCGCATCCTCTCCAGGCCCTGGAGCAGCGGACGAGTGACTCCAGTGTCCTATTGCACTGCAGCACAGCAACGTCTTAGTCAAAAGATGCAACATCGACGTTGCGCCCTTTCCGCCAGGCCGGCCTTGGCTTGAACGATTCCCTTTCACCGGCCTCCAACGTCCATGGTCTGGCGCCGTTCAGCGAACATCTCGGATCCAAGTCATCCAGCTCGATGTTCGCATGCCGGAACCAAAGTCCAACTGCAATGTCTCCCGCAATTTCCTTTGATTTAGCGGTCGGACCAGGGTCAGGGATGAATGGACCAGCTCCAGCGCTTCAACCTATATCGAATGTCTCTCCAACGAATGAGGTGCCGCCGAATCGGACCAAATATAATGATCAATCAGACGAGGAAGAAAGTGTGCCAAGGCCTCAAGATGTAAGTCCATTGGTATCTAACTAGATCAATCAGTGTCTAATAACTCCACAAGTAGATTGGGAGCATCACGGTATGTATGCGGTATCAAGCGAGTGTTAGCGAACTGAAGACCTAATGTCTGTGCAGGACCGGGTTCCTGGCTCTCCATCTGCCCAAGTCTGCCATCTCTTGGGTGACACAGAGAACAGGAGCCGCCAGGTTTGTCGATGTTGCGACGGAAATGACATCGACCTGGACCCAGCGTCTCACCATGGACTCCAGCATGTTTTCATCGAGTCCGACCCCGGAACCAGACTCAATCGCATGGAATTTTGTCAACGGTAATGCAGACAGCTCTCACTAGAACTGAAGTTGCTGATCACAGCAGCGTATTTTGAGGAGTCAGACGAAATCATATACGGCGTGGTGTATCGCCCTGACCTTGAGAGCAACCTACGGGCCTATTTTCGGGGCGAGTTAACGTTACTGAATGATAGTGCCGGGCAGGCTTTGAGAAACACCGTTTACGCTTCAGGCTGCCGAATATATCTCGCCAAAAATTCTGACTTGGGCTTTCAAGACCTCCAAAGACTGGAGTGGATGTATTTCCCGAACGACTTAGCCGAGCTCACGAAAGTCCTCTTTACGGCTAATAGTCTTCTCAGCATCCGAGCTATTATGACAATGGTGAGCCTGTGCAGACAGAAGGGGGGTAAGGGTTCTGACATTACCTTGCAGACCTTTGCTGGCGGCTTGGGTTGTCCGTCGCCCGAGTATCTGCTCTGTGCGAACGCATTACGAGTAGCACAGGCAAAGGGTCTCCATCGCCAGCCGGCTCGAGATTGGAATATGTCAGAGAACGAAGTGCGGCATTGAAACTGGCTTTTTTGGGCGGTTTATTGTTGTGAGAAGCACATCTACCAAAGATCGGGACGGCCCTCTGTAAGAATCAAGCTTCCCAGCAACTTCTTCGCGTTGTTCACGTACTAGCAGGCCATCTATGATGACTACATCACATGTCACATCCCAGAGTATGTTTGTCCAGGAAGTACGATCGACTTCAGTGCCTTTGTTGCCCCATCCACCAAGCTCGAATATCTTCCCAGGTGCTCAAACAGCTGCTTTCGGTCAAAGGACAGCGACAAAGCCCGGCCTTATTGCTCGAGATGGTCATGGACCTGGACAGCCAACTTTGCGCCTGGAGAGACTCGCTTCCTAAAGAGCTTCAACTTGCGGACGACCTCAAATCTTTTCAGATTGACGCCGAAGCTCGACCTGGCGTCAAAATGGCGGTGCACTATGAATACTACTGCACGCTGATCTATATCCACATTATCATCGTATACCCATGGATCAGTTCAACATCATTTGGTCAAAATGATGTCGAGAGCTTTCGGGCGCAGATAAGACAGACCTCCGACGTCGTTCACTCTTGTGCGAGGAATATCTTGATCATGGCAAAGGGCCTTGAGATCAAACCAAACACTACCAAGTGGTAGGGTTTGCCCCTTTTATTCGGACACCCTTACTGATTCAGTCAGGGCCGCCTTCTACGTCCCCATGCTGGGGTTGATCAATCTTTTATTCACGTTCTCAAAAACACTAGGGACTTCTTGACCGAATCCGACATTGTGCTACTCGACGTGGCGGCTGGGTACTTTAGAAACATGGAATTCGCCGCAAACTGTAAGATGACTTACAAGCTCGTTTGCGAAGTGGCTGCCCTGGCTAGAAAGACCGTTCGAGCAAGACCAAGAGCGCCCTCTCCGGTCGTCCAACTGGATGGGGAGACGAGGGGCCTGCACCCATTTCCGGTTGGCCAGACCAAGGCAGGTCTCCTGGCTCCCAAACAGGTGGCAGCATCCTCTTCTTATGACCCCCTGCTGATTGGCAAGACAGGCTCCATTTCCGAATATGGGGGACTTCGTTTTGGACGACTGGGGGACCTATGCTCCCTTTTTGCATGGCGACATGTCAGACATGGCCTTTCAGGCTCTCGACATGGGAGCGGGAGCTCCACAACGTGATTGCGCCTGCTGAGAGAAGAAACGCTGCAGAGGAAATAATGGTATATCGTTCTGGACCTGGCCGACGCTGCTCGTTTCGTGATACCTCATCCGCAATCAAGCATCGCATATTTTAGAATCCAGGAAAATGGCCTTGTTGCTCTCGATCGAGTCGAGGGCGGGGAACGCGATCCCCCGACCAAGCATATTTGTCGAAACCGAATGCTTCTTCGACTGCTTCCCTCTCAGCGATGACTTCGTGGTACTGTGCGGTACCGGACTTTGACGTGAGATGTTCCACGCCGGGCGAGGCTCCCAACCCTAGCTCAACCTCACCACCCTTGACACAGTCTTCATTTCACAGGCGAGGCTGAGCAGTTTGGATTCAGCCTATTCAGCCTCCGTGTCCTTTTGATAACCTATGCTTAGTCGTCTCTAACCAGCGTCCTGGGCTTGCATGATTGGTATCTACATTTCGAATCGAAGATATGATTGTACAGACAGTAGAATGCCAAGCTGATATGTTGAGCGTGCATCGTATTATTTCCTGGTATTGGCAGTGGCAGCTCACTGGCTAGCGTTGGACCAGCGAACCGGATATCAGCACTTAGTTTCGAAGTCAGCTCACAGCTCTTCATCTTTCTACATAGTTAAAAACAATAGTGCCGCCTCCATTGATCACCATCATGGACAATCCGACCAAGTTAAGCTTGGGCGAAAGACTGAAGGCCCGCTTCAAGCCAAATCGACCAGCCAAACAGCAAAGGACCGACTTGGCCAGACTCACTCCGACTGTTGATAAACCACCTAACATTTTGTCTGGAGCCGCCGTTGACAAAACTCAAAAGAGGAATCTGTGGCAGGAAGCTTTCGACGCCTTGCAAAAAGATGAACGCATGTCCGTAGTGCTTGCAGAATTCGGACAGTTTATTATCAGCAGTACCACAGGTCAATCATTACAGAACGCCCAGGCTCAGGGTGCTTCTTCAAAGACTATCGATGTGCCGATTTCCGATGAAGCATGGAGAGATAATTTGACTCAGCAAGCCGCCTCATGCCGAGATCGAATGGCCATAAACGCGCAAAGAGACGAAAGGGCTGCCAATACCCTGGATGGAATCGTAACTGCCAATGATTGTCTGACCGTTTTCACTTCGTTTGAGCCTCACGCAGCAATGGCCTGGGCGGGAATATCAGTCACCTTACCGGTAATGCAGCCTCAGCGAGCTCTTTTGACTGATTCCGGCTAAATGATGTTCAATATCTCACCACTGTGATGGAACAGCGGAGTAATGCCATTACCAGCTTCGAATATGTCTCACGGATCATGAAGATCTATCTCCTGCCGGAAGAGACATGCCGCCAACCCTCTCTTCCCAAAGACTGAGTCATCTTTCGCAAGCTTATCAAGACGTCAACAAGGGACAAGCTCGTTTCTCTCTACGGAGAAAATCCTCCAATATCAATCGGCTATGGCGTGCCATTTCATACAAGGTCCCATACGACGCTTCCTTGGGACAATATTCATCTTGGATGACTGGGAAGGTATGTTGGCGGAAGTTAAAGCCAACGTGGAAAATTCTCGTCTGGACATGGGTGCAGTTGATTCCAGTCGACTCAAGTTCCTATACGATGAGAGTCAAAGAGAGCTGCGTCGGAAAATTTTCTCCTGTCTCGCCTCAAACTATTGCGAGGATAAAAAGGTTCACCCTTATCCGGTCGCAGGTAATGTATAAATCCAGCCACTGTGACTAAGGTGGCTTACAAATGACAGGTTCCTGTGATTGGTTCGCTTTAACTCCTCAATATGAGAGCTGGATAAGCGGCCAGACCCCTTTTCTATTTGTGACTGCAATGGCTGGCTTCGGCAAGTCGGTGTTGATGAAAGGGCTTGTCAATGAAGCCTCGAGCGAGTCCTCATTTACTTCCGCCTACTACTCTTTTCGAAGCTCCTGTGACTCTAAGTTGAATACTGATAGACCCGCAACTGCACTTTGTGCGATGCTTCACCACCTTTGCCTCAAAGGCCATTATGGCATCCTGCAGCTCGTTGAAGATAAATATAATTCTGGGGGCGAGGCCCTATGTGGTGATTTGGAAGAGCTCTGGGAGATTCTTATAAAGGCAGCCGATGATAGTCAGAATCCGATCCTTTGCTTCATTGATGCTTTAGATGAGTCCGCAATGATGATAAGATGGCCCGGTTTATCAGGCTCATGAACGAGCATTATGTGAAGCCAGATGTTTCTACAAAGTTGAGGCTAATTTTAACGGCGAAGCCGTATTTCGATCCCGAGTTCAGGTTTAGAAGACTACTTGAGGGTTTAGGAAAGGATGTTCATTTCAAGATAATGAACGAGCGACCGAACAGCGAAATGGAACGCATCATGAAATTAAAGGTCGAGAAACTCCCTCTAAAACCCGACTCACGAAGCCATCTCCTGAAGCGGTTAATGGAACGGCAGAGATACACAGAAGGGGACCATACCGAAAGTCAAACATTCTTGTGGCGGAGGCTGGCTTTCGAAAGCTTGAAACTCGACCAGCGTTTTACTGGTGTCGACGTCAGCGTTATTGACAGGCTTGTCGATGATCTTCCTGACACATTGTCTTCCACTTACGAGAAATTGCTTGATAGGAACAAGGAAAGCAGTAAGCGAGAGAGAGAGAGAGAGCGAGACTCGTGCTTCATCTCCTTCTCAGAGCACGGGCGACCCTGAGTCTACGAGAACTACAGATCGCCTTGACCCTTGCAGAGAATTCGGCAGCAAGGAAAGGCAGCTACGTTCCCACATTGCAGGAAGATGAGATCTTCAGACGAAGGATTGTCGATCTTAGCGGGACAATAATTACGACGGTCGAAGGCAAGGTCTTCATATTTCACCAGACAGCGAGAGAGTTCCTATCACCCAAGCGCGAGGAGAAACGATCTGAGGACATGTGGAAACACTCGTTTCTTTGCGATTCAAACATGCTTTGGGAAAAGGGTTGTCTGGAGATCTTCCATCTCTATCATCGGAATCACCATTTCTGTCGATAGCATCTGGAAATCTTCTCAGCACTTCGCTGCTCTTCAATGGCGGCACTATCGCTTCGAGATGTTATTCAATTATTTTTCCAGGCCTACATTCAAGGAGTGGGGGCTGATAAAGCCATCAGTCTCAGACTATAAACATATGTTAGAGAATGCCAGATCCGAATTCCTGCAGGTGCAGCCGACTTTCTTGGGCTACCAACATATGTTGGACGTGAGCGACGAATGCTTTCGGCTCTGGTACTCGGCTTATGGGTATGGGGTAATTACCTTTTGCGAAACCTTCGTCCTGGGCCGTGTTCTAGAGGGCATAAGGCCAGATGATAAGTTACTCGGGGTCTTCCATCTCTTGATGGAAGATTATGAGTATACGACCGGTCTATCTCAGCCACACGACCTCACCATAACATACCAAAATTCTGAACGCTTCAAGGAGTTGCTCGTACGACACGTCACGGAGCAGGATTTGGTAGAGTTAACTCACCGCAACGGAGAGTATAAGCCCGATACGACACCCGACATGGCTCCCGATAATTCGCCGAACTTACCAAGCGACTTGAGTAGAAAATATAGGGAGATGAACCCGGATGCTTTGTACGGGTTGTTCGATATGGTTTGGTGTGCTGAGTTATTTGGCTCACACCACTTAGGGCAAACGCAAGCGGAAGCGGAGGCTTGAAGGGATCTTGTAAGGAAGGGCAATCATTTACTGCGCGGATAGCGGGATGAAGAGTTTTGACTCAACCGGAGAGCATTTCAGGTGCCTTTGTAACAGCAGAGACATCTCTCAAGAGCATTAGCAGATTTGCCGGACTGGACAAGATTTGTTATCCCGCACTGGACATCGAAACCGGCCTCTCAGATCATTTTCGCTGTCACATCAGAAGCCAGCAGCCGAACATCCTTTTTGATCAAGCCTTTGAGATGGGGGGAAGAGAGAGGCAATCTTGCAGGCAGTGGGCAGCCCTCGCGTCTTGAAGTTGGACTCAGTATCCAAGTGGTTCAGGGGCTCAGCTTTACGTAACAACCTTGGTACCTACTTAATAAGACACCTCAATTGAAGGGAACATACGAATTGACCTACGAATACAAACCCAAAAGAGGATAGCAACTCAGAGCCAGGGCCACAGCAAGTCGTAATCCTCGAAAGCACGCTTGTAATAACTTTAATTTGAATGACTTCTTCGTCCAATGTACTCGGTAGCTATTTGAGAGCAGCTGGAAGGACCCCAACGCCGGTATCCACAGGATCGCTCCGCTAGGATGAACGATATAGTGTGGCAGATGGCTGTAAGTGGGTTACAATGGCCTCCAACAGAACAATCAACAGAGTCCATGCATCTACAAAGTACATCTGTCTACCTGTCGAGTTGAGGGACAAGGTGTACTAACTAACATTACATAGGGTGCTCAGCCTCGTCTCGAAAGGGGGGAGCCTGTCTTGGCATTTGGAGAAGCGAGGCTGCGCTAACGAGGCTGAGGCTACGTATCTCTTCAGTCAATGCTCAATTCTCAAAAGTACGTCGCACTAAATCTTGAACATTCCACTGTGCGCGCCACGCCAACTTCCTACAATGCGTCTGCTCTCATTTCTTCCACATGCGCTGCTCCTTTTCTCCACGCTGGGTTCAGCTGCGGCAGCAGCCTCCACGTGGACATTCGCAGATGCCTCTCTCAGCGTAACCAGTAAAGGCACCGCAGCTGGCAAGGATGGGGGAATTAAGGAGAAGTACGCCCTATCTAGTGACCTCGACTTCATCAATTCTCTCTCTCTCTCTCTCTCTCTCTCTCTCCATATATATATACGCAGAAGAGCTTAAGTACTGACTACTACCTCGTCACCCATCAACCAGACTCACGCCCTCCCAACCGCTTTCCAAACCCGTCCTGCTCGGCTCCTCCGACACATTGAAGATCACCCTCATAACGCAAGAGGGAAAGAGTGCCAAAAGACCGCATCAAGCGTTTTTGCTGCTGCAAGACCAAGAAGGGAAGCTGGATGTTTCATATCCGTTTAGCGTAAAGGAGTCGGGAAAAGCGAAGGTCGAATTGGTACGTTTACTTTGCTCAATGTCCAAGATGAAAAGCAAGAAAGAGGGCAGCGTCGGGGGACGATTACATGCAGCTCGAATACTGACGCCTGCTCTATCCGCCATGCTTTGGGCTCTGCACGGGCATTGTGGTTTGCTGCCTCTTCTCTGCCAGAGTCGGTCAATGGAGACCAGAAAGACCAATGTTGATGCGTGGACAGACACATAAAGATCTCCCCGTCCAATTTCTCACTTCCTCCACTCTGAGCAACACCTCAGGGCTCAGCGCATCCATCGTAATCGCCTCCTTCAGCACCAACCCGGGCTACAACTCCCGGGCCTTCACTCTCGAAATCAAGACGGATCCAAACACCCCGTTACCACCAGCAGAGAAATCACTCCGATACGGCAAACTCCCGGAGATCCACCACATCTTCCGCTCTGACCCTAGATCTCCGCCCATGGTTATAAGTCTGGTATTTTTGGCTGCCGTGGTGGGAACCCTACCATTGCTGGCAGGTGCTGTACGTTGCCCATATCCCATATCCCACGTCCTGCAGCCTACATTCTATATTCTGTCTTCTAATACTCCATTCCCCCTCCTCCTCCTCCTCCTCCTCCTCCTCCTCCTCCTCCACGAATCCGCTTGGAAGAATCAACACTGACCTCTCCCTCGTTTGTATGTCCATAGTGGGTCGCCCTAGGCCTGAACCTCTCCTCCCTGCCCAAGGCCTTCTCCGCTTCGCCGATATCGCACGCCTGCTTCATGTCGTCGATCGTGGGCATCGAGTTCGTCTTGTCCCTGTACTACACGACTTGGAACCTGTTCCAGACGCTCCCCGTCCTCGGTGCGTTGGCCGTCCTTGCGTTCCTAAGTGGAAGTCGCGCCTTGACCGAGGTCCAGGAGCGGAGGCTGGCTGGCACCAGATGAGATGAGATGAGCACAGCTACATACATACAGTTCTCCTCCCTCGGCGAGTGGAGATTGGATCACTGGTGCGGACACGAAGACGCAGGCTGGACGGAATGGCAATGGGAATCGGGAAAGGGAAATAAATATAGAGCGGTAATGGAGACATTGAAACTAGGCGCAAGGGGGAGATACTCAGCCACAGGAAACCAAAAGTCACAATTACCCTCCGAATTCAAAATCAAAATAAAAGTCGAAGCCGAAGCCGAAGCCAAGGTCCTATATCTTCGTGCAGGATAACTGCTACATCAAATATTACATTACTAAGTCTACTGGGTGCATGAGTGAATGAGGAGTGAGTGAGTGTACGATACAAGACCAGTAGACTACCTAATCTGTGGTTAAGGCAGGAGAATTGGATCGATCAGACATCAGGGACATATAGTATTATCATGCCATGGATGAGTAAAATCCGTCATGAACTTACTTTACCCCGAATTTGGACGAGGATTACGCCGCCCTGCCCTCACCTTGGCTCGCCCATATCTCACCTGTCGTACTATAGGGCCTCGAGACCTAGGGAAGCAGTGTTCCAATTTTTAATGCAATCCGCCTTCCGTTGAAAGAACCCCTCCTCCATGAAACTTTTATTTTTATGACGGATATTCGCTGTCGCCAAGCCGCTAGAACTTCACTATATTACTAGCGTGTATAGTTTTATATGAGCAGTATTGGAATTACTACTAGCGAATGGCGCCATGGTGGCGCTAGAAGTCTCATATTTCTCGAAGAACGCGAGATTAACACGTCGTAAAGAAAACACCTTTAACGCGTAAAGTGCAGGGTAGGAGGCGTGACGAGTGCCTAGGAATACCGTAGCGGCCCAAACCTATTTCTGTAGACCATCTAAACGCGTTGTTGGAGGGCGGGTCTAGTAGGTTTGAACAAGTGTTTACATCGCATTTCACAGCCATCAGGCAGCTTCCGCTCCATTGGGACTGTCTGTTCTTCGGGGCTTGTCACCCTTGTCTTCCGTTACCCAGGACTATGCGTTCCAAAGCGCTTCGGGCTTTCTGTCGGTGATTGCTGGCATTCCAACTTTAGACACTTCGATGACTTTTCTCAGATGTACGCATCATAGATGATGTATTTCTCAACACCGCCACCTCATAGTTTTGCACAGCCTCAGCTCCGTCATGTCGCTAGCAAGCTTCAAATTAATTGCCTGATTATTGCTCCGCCTCGCAGCTGCTGCAGTTGGCGATCCATAAGGAAAGCACATTTTTACAAGACATAGCTAAGGGCGCTAAGCGCTGATCCCGGTTGGTGCTCATGCGTGTTTGCTGGTATCGTGCCTCGCCTCAGCCAGAATGCGCAAAAATTCAACGCTCGACGACATTCATAGATCAGGATCAAAATTCAGCCCAGGAACGACATGCTCTGTGTGAAGAATACCAGACAGAGACACAGCCGGAGTATGCCCTGTCCTGAACCCGTCGTCGCTTTGGTTTGTCCGCGCTCCCCAAGTATGTGCGCGTCCTTGATAATCAGGTCGAGGAGATCCGTCTACTCGAGATCCAGGGCGGTGCGTCACCTATACGCTGCAGCTTGCGGGAATTCAGACTAGTCCAAAATCCTGTTTATGAAGCGCTGTCATATACCTGAGGTTGTGCTGGTGGGGAACTGTATATTCTCCTAGAGGGACATTGTTTGGCGCTCCAGCCGAACCTTTACAGCTTTCTTCAAGCCATCTGTGAGCACAAGAGCTCAGTGAGAACCTTGTGGGTCAATCCCTATGCATCTATTCCTACCGAACTTCAATGAAGCGGGAATGGCCCCGGACAGCGACAGCACCAGTGATTTCGTACAAGAGCGATCTCGCTTAGATGGTGAGCAGATATGGCCACCACCAAATTTGGCTGGCGTCCGTTTCTAATGGTCATACAATCAAACAATATTCAATATTCTAGGTATTTGGCCTCGTCGTCGCCGTTTTTGTATTGTAACGGAGCACCTCTAGGTTTGGCATGCACGTGCAACAGCGCACAGGGGCCTATCAGGCAGGTCGGAAATCGAGAATGCTTTTCTGCTCGGCGCTGGCAAGACAATACTGTCACCAACACCACCCACAGAGAGACAGGGGTAAGGGCGACGGGTGCCTAGCAAGACGGCGGCGTTGAGGAGTGGGAAAGGACAAAAGAAATGCGGTATCACAAAATCATTAAATACTCTGCTCAAACTATAAAGAATGGCACACGGCCACCGCCGTAAACTTTTAAGCAATCCGACAGCGATGGCATGCTCGCTCAGTCATTCTGTGACTGCTGTCAACTGTTTTTGTCTCCGTCTTGTTGAAGCTTGAATGCTCAATAGCCCCATTCTGCCTTGAAGCCTGTCATCCACAGCCAAAATTAATGTTAGTCCTTTTGTTCTGACATGTGACCAGCTAAGTCGCCTTCGTGCCACCCCCATGCCAGCACAACACAGCCACTCCGCCTTGCTATACCCTAGCTAATGGGTATCTAGCGAATTGGTATCTAGCGAATTTGGAAACCAAGCACTCAGGAAGATATTTCTCTTCAGCCCTGTACGTAACGTATAATTTTTTTCCTAAAGGTTCCTGTCGTAGACGACGCCGCATTATCTAACAAACTCGTTTCCACATCTCAAGACCCCAGGTTTTGTGAGCCTCAGCCCATTGTAACCGAGGATTCACGTGCTTGGGTACAAGAAGAGGATTTCCTGTGCGGTACGACGATGGTATTACTCTTTTTTGAACACTAGTGCAAGAGAGCGTTGATGTTGAGCGATCTCATCATATGGGAGGCGTCAGCAATAGGCATAAAGAGTTGAGCGTCTTATCAGTTGCCGTCTTTTTCTTGTCGTAAGTATCGGTTTACATCAAAGTAGTTTTTGTGGAGTACAGACCCCAGAGCGAACAAAATGCTGACCTGTTGAACAAGTAAGTCAAAGTTCTCGGGCAATCTGTAGGAGATTCCATCTCGCCATATTATACGGAGTAAGGATATGGGTTCGTTCTATCTCCGTGGGGCGTTCGCTGCGCGGTGGTCTGGATCCGCATATGATTTGCTATTCTTATGCTTGCCAGGCATCGTTACAACGCGCTTTAGAGGGTAGGAGCGCGTAGAGGGAGGGCAGGTATGGCGGGTAGGAAGGAGGATGAGAAGCCGACGTGTGCACTGTCAATCGTTTTGATAGAGGGGAGTCAGACTGTACATGATACCCCCTTGTACCTAATATACTAAGACCCGTATTAGGGAGAAAGGTTCTTTCAATGTTCATACAGAATAATAAGATTTGAGGACTGTAACATTGTGCAGAATAACAAGACTTGAGTGGCATTGTACAGAATAACAGGTCCCTTGGTTTGTACAAACTACTCTGCCTATGTCGTACAGAATAGGCGCTTTTTGAAGTGTTCCACACTCCCCAGATTTTTCCGATATTTTCCTAGACTAACTCCACCAACGGGTCTGGGATGCAATCAAAGTGTCATCTACCAAGTAAACCTCTACCGTAAGCACCTCGCCAACCTCGAGACCGGTTCGGATGTGGGGCCGTCTTAGCTAGCCAAAGTTTTAAGGAGGTTTTACTTCAAGCGAGACCCGTCAAGGGTTTCCTGGCTGACTTCCCAGATCCTCCAGACAACCTCCAGCAAAGACTATAGCTTCACAAACGCACGCGGTCCGCTCATTCTTCATGGCGGTTTCGATGGACTTGAATAACAGTGATATTCCTGTTGCGATATCCACCGACTCGGGCTCGTTTACAGCCCACTTTCCCGAGAGTGCACTTCCTGAGAATGGCGCAGCGCAACCTAAGCGGCGAATACGCGCATCTCGTGCCTGTGAAATGTGTCGATATCGCAAAACAAAAGTATGATGTCATCTATGCCCTCCCTAGGACCATCTAGGGCACTGCAGTCTTCGTGACCGAAGGATTTAATGATAGGGATGCTGACCACGAAATTGTTAAGTGCGATCAACAACATCCATGCTCGCACTGCGTATGTAAGTGCATCGCCAGACACGGTGGCCGTGTTGTTGCGATCTAGCATGCTCATATTTGATTCCAATAGCCTATTCTTTGAGGTGCATCTACAGACCAGGGGATGCTCTGCGGCGTCGGAGATATCCAGGGAGAGAAGACTCCCACGACTCGACATCCACAAGGTGTGTCTGTGGGACCCCGGCACAGAGGCGACTGCGTTTTTGCGTTCTCTCCCAGCCAGGAGATGGACCAGGCTCTCTGTTGCAATGGCCTCTTTAAAGAATCTTATTCTGAAGTGAAGCAGAAATGGACAGCCACAGGTTCATGAGATCCGAAAACGCCGATCTGGAAAACGAACCTCTCCGGGTGGACACAGTGGAGGGAATCACAGCGACAGGACTGTACAAGTGCTGTCGGCGTCGGCCGGGCGAGGGCAGTCGAGCAATATAGACAGCAGCTCGTTGGCCAAGCGGCCAGAAGTCTTGGAGGATGAAGAGGCTCTCGAGCAGCGCGTGCAAGAAGGTACGGGGCATCATGAGTGGGACACTATACAATCAAATCGCTAATGGGCCTTCACCGATAGGACAGGTCAGCAACGTCGGCACCCCCAGGCTTTCTGGTGTCAATACGCATACCAGTGGAACCGAATTCTACGGCGGCTCCTCGAACCTGGCGTTTCTGGCAAGATTGTTCTCAAAAGCTCGCAAACGTGTCTCCATGCTATCCCGTGGCGTGGTCCCGACAGGTGTGGCAAATAGTACTTCTTTCGCGCATGACACGACCAGCTCTGAGCTGCGCCACCTCAACGACAACAGGTCGTCTCTCGTTGACCTCATGTACAGTATTGACTATCACTCGCCTGTGGACCGAGCCACACGAGCCACCACAGGCGCTGCCAGTACGCCGAATGCGGCGGCGACAACCCCAAGCATCCGGACCAGCCATTCCAGCCCTGGGTTCCCTCTTGCTGCTGAATCATCGCTCCACATCCCTCCTCCACGGCTCTCGGC